CGAACAACATTAAGCTACTCACGCAGAGAAGAACGGCTGCTGCCATCATCATCCGTCATCATTTCTGCTACACTGGCAGGGCTAGGGGCCAGGACTCTCCTCTTCCTGTTTTTTGGGGGATGTTGCATAACAGGCAACCCACCCGCAGTAGATGTGCTCGGTGTGAGGTCTCGCAGCAAGCTATCAAATACGGCCCATTTCTGGGCTTTTTAAAAAAAAAACGCTATGCGTCGCCAGGTGTTTCATCGGATTTGAGGTGTTACCTCCTTTGACAGTATCACAGTATCAGCTTAAAGCACTTGTTGCAGGCTGCTGAGTTTGCATATTTTGCTGTGAAGTACAGCCAGACCTTTGACCGCTTCGCCTTGGGCATTTTTAATCTGTAGCTCTGCTCTAAAAGAACATACGTACCTGGCCCCGCCTACTATCCTCGGAAACATAAAATGATTGGCTAGAATTCAAAGTGTATCACAGCTCAGGATAAAAAAAAAAGCACCGAAATGTGTGCTGCTTTTCGGTCTGGTTACTACCGTTTATGTCAGGATACCGGTACCCATCCCTATGTATGAATTCTGGTTGTATTTAGTACGACTTTGCTAAGCTATGAACCCGCACCGCTTGATGGCTCTTGATTTTAAGAGCCAGGATATTGAGGGGAAAAAAAATCCTGTCGACAAGAGCTGTAAGTTGATGAAGACGCATTCCATATGGATTGAAGAGTGCTGATGTTCCCTGATGTTTTCCTCTTATCTAAATGTGAATGGGACATTATCACCAGCCTGAATTAGTCTGAGATTGATAAAATTGATCTCGACCTTACCCTGATCCCAACCAGTTATCTCTGCTATGCCAAATCATTCCTACCCTTAAGCTTTACCCCAATGATAAGTGCGCTGTAGAAAATGCACTAAATTACATGAAAACGTGGTTTAGAGGGGAACAGACTGGGCCCCTTCTTGTTTTTTGTCTTCTTCCCTCAGACGACCTTGGAGGAATGTGCGTGGTAGTTCTCAGTGTCATAGAGTTAAACACTGCCCTTTCCAGTGTGCCACACCAAAGTTCACCATAGTGAAACGTGCTTTGTCTTCGCCTCCCCATTTTTTGACTTCAGCTCTCGCCCTCCTCTGTGCTTGACATTTGACTGTGTGTGGGTGCCTTTGGTCTCTATAGGAAATCGTGCTCTCAGGCTCTGCTGGAGCCCCAGATGCACACAACTGGAGTCCAGAGCCAAAGATTTGCCCTTTGTCCAGTGTTGTTGAGCGTGACCCGTCACGAATGCATGTATGCCGAAAAGAAGCAGAGCCATTCTGGATCTTTAGAACTCTAAATGTCGCCATGTTTTTCCACTGCCTCTGGGTATTTTGCTTTGTAGCCCTGAGGTTATGTCCAAAGCGTGCTTTAAAAGACTTCACTGAAATCCTCTTAAGCTTGACGTAGATGTAACAAATCATGCTTCTCAGTGCTCGGTCTCTGACCTAATCTGTCAGTTATTGCCAATACCCATACTGCAACTGTCACACACATTCCCCTGAACTTTATCTCAAATCTTTAAAAAAAAATGTTGTTTGATCTTGAGCAACACCAGGAATTTGAGCATGTTGTGATATCTTGCAGAGAATTAGACAATCTACAGATGCTGTGGCAAGTCAACAATCTGGGTTTGATTGTCTACTTGAAGCTACTTGAAACAACTGTGTCAGACCAACATCTGGGCATCTGATCCGATGATGTCATGTGTTCTGCTTTTGCCGCCTTGAAGTTTACTCTTTGAGGCAGTTTTCTTGAAGCCCTTTCCACATGGATGCTAATGCCATTTTCCTTTGCACCTGCGGCTTAACAACTGGAGAGGTTCTTACTGTTGGCCTGCCTCCATCCTCAAACACTCTGCTGGGTACTGGCTTGGAAGATTGTGTGGATGCTCTGGTGGGACAAGCCTGGGGGGGTTAGGGTTAGGCACCCTGATTGGAGAGTTCCTCGTTTGGTTACTGGTTTTGAGGTGTGTGTGTGTGTGTGTGTGTGTGTGTGTGTGTGTGTGGTGGGAGAGTGGCAAGCTAACAAAACAATGGATGCTTTGTGAGAGGGGTCCCACCATGACAGGATTGTTGGGGGGAGGAAGCAAGGGGGTGGTCAGGGCTTAGCGAAGCGTAGCCACTTGATTAGTCAGGGCTCTCCCTTTGCACCTCCTCCCATCCATCTCTCGTCCCACCCTCCCTCCTTATCATTCTCTCACTGCTTTTCCCTCCCCGCTAACTCGTGGAAGCAGAGACATTGGAGCCGCTCTGCACGGACACATCGCAGGGTTTTCGGCTCGTCATTGAGGATGTTTTGGAGGTTGATCAGAGTTGCTTGTTGCAGCATCTTCCCTGACTGTCCGAAATGTTTGTTGTTCTCAGGTAAGTTGTCTCGTGTTGTCATCCTTTCTAGTCCACCCCGACCTGTCCTTGGTCGCTGACTTGCATTTCATCTCCGCTGGGCTGCAGTTGTGGTATTGGATGACTGTGCACAGTACTGTCGGGCTGGCTTCTGATGAACGAATCATTTCAGTGTCAGTTGTAGCGGTATTTTTATGTAAAGCTGCAGGAATGTATCTTTTTATGTCAGTTTTATCAATCTGTTTATGACAACATCAGTGGAAAACTCCAGAACAGTGAAATCCTGCAGTGTAGAAGTTTCACAAACCCATTTCACTTTCCATTTTGCGGTGGATATCAGCTGAGGTTTGTGTGTCCAAGGAGAATGTAGGGGTTGGTGTTGACAGACTATTGCCTCAGCTGCGTTGACCAAATTGTCAGTGTTATTAGGATCTCCATGCTTGGGATTGCTTTCTCACCCCACCCACTGTCTTTCTTTGTCAAACACACACGCCCTCGGGGACATTGGAGGGTCAGGGTAATTCCTCACATCCTGTGCGGGGAAAAATGCAGAGCAGCACTCCATCACTCCCTTTGTGAGAAAGTTTGATTCCCCCTAAACTCATTGCATGTCCTGCAAAAACAGCATGGACCTCCTTTTTAATGCAGAAGGTTGTTTGCTGTTTATATCTTTAACTTCCTTCTGTTATTTAACTCGGCACAGTCACATTTGGCTTTCCTGTCTAATTCGTTAATAAAACAGGCCCTCTGTGACTGAGAGATGAAGGAAAGCTATGAAAATTAAGTTTGGGAGAAGAGCCACATGGAATGGACTTTATGAAATAATCAACATGTGTCTAAATGGAGCTTAGAAGTCACTGTTCTCATAGGGCTCTGCCTTGACTCCAGAGTCCGCATGTTCCAGTGTAGGGTTGGCCAATAAGCAAAATTTATTGATTATAGTGCTGCACCTTCATTATTTGTATTGATTTATTTTTTGTACAGTCAATGAAATGTCAAAGTCCTGATTGCTAACAGCACACATTATCTACTCTTAAACTGATTTAATTATTTATTTTTTTTGACTCACCAGCAAGACAAAGCAGCTTATGATTGGCTACATTGCCATTTCCACTTTGGATAAAGTTTGTAATGATGTTGTCACACACATGAAGCCGTAGTATTGGCAATACTTCACTTGATTTTAACCTAGCTAAATTACCAACTGTGTAAATTCTTCCAGCTAATACATAATTTGTCATTTTATCCTCACCTAGCTTTTGCTGTATGGGGGTTTGCCAAAGTACTGATTAAACAAGTAGTCAATTGATTAATTTTTTGCATCATTCATAAAAATGACATGCCAAACCTTTTCCAGCTGTATTTTATGTTCATCATATTAATGGACGCAAAGTGACATCACTTTGGTGTTTGAAACTGAGATTTATTACATTGTTAATTTTAGGCTCATCATTAAGCAGGTTTAGCAACAATGAGTGGCTGTCTAACTTGCAGGTCTTGTTGGCGCACACAGCTTACATGTAGTGAAATGTGCTGTATAAATAATATTAGATTACCTGGATTTTACCCTGCTCTGAATATTAGTGCAATTTTTTTTTTAAACCCTCAAAGTTGGATAAATGAAGAACATTTTCCCCCTCTGTACGAATACAGAACGCCATATGTTCTCAGAATGAGTTTCATGGTGGAACCAGTTTTTATAGAGAAGCCGGTTAGTCATCCACCTCACACTTGTGCAGCATTTCTCTTTGCTGTCCAGCAACACCAAGGTCTCAAGACTCTTAAGTGGATACCACTCCCACTGCTGTTTCAAAAGAAACGCCTAAAAAGCATGTCTTTTCATGCTGCACTAAAGTCAGCTAATCACCTCCAGATCCATATTAAATGCATCAACATGATGTGTTTATGCAGGAGTTGGTGAACTGTTCCTTTAAAACTCCCTTAGGTAGCTTTTAATCAGATACTCTGTGCATCTTGATTAGCAGTTTTCAGGAACGCAGATGCAGCTCTCTGGAATTTCTTGTTCGCATTCTTTATGTAAAAGGTAAATAAAAACAGCACAAGGATTTTTATTAAATTGAAAATGGTGCAAAGACAACACAAGATGTTTAAACACATTGTCCTTATTAGAATTTGATGTTACGTTTTGCACTGTTGTAACTTCATTTAGTCTGAGACCTGTGTTTTTCTTTTCTTTTTTTTCCTTCATGTTTCTACAGAATGAAAAGGGGAATCATCTAGGATCAAAGTAATGGCTGTCCAGGCTGGCATCCAGGTAGGCTCATCCCCCATCTCAAGTCTGATATACATGAAGCTCACAAACACATGGATGTTTAATTTCAGTTTAAACCAGTGCTGTCCTCATTCTGGGCTTGTACAGCCACTATATATTTTAGCACATGCTGTAGGGCTAACTTGATTTTGAGTCCTTATCGTAGCGCCCCCTTTGGGCCAGTCAGAGCCTCAGTGCCATGCTGAGGGAAGAAGTTCCCACATACTGCACGTTGTGGTGTTCAAATTAAAGAAGTGCAGACATCTGTCTTTCCATTCAACAACTGTGGTGAGCCCACCTGTGTTGCAGCATGCCATCTTGTTTTTGTTATGCATGTCTGACGTTCCACTGCTCGGACCCTGAGGAGTTTCCCTGCACATTTTTAAGGGGGGAGTGGGTGGAATGCACAATGGTTTTTATATATTTGTTTGTTTGTTTTTTCTTTCCCCCTCTCTCTACCCCTCCCAGCAACGAAGTGTTACCCATCCCAAAAACCAAAACAACACATGTATCATATTACAAATTTGTCACATGCTTTTCTCTGGTCTGGAAAGTCCTGGCTCTCGCTGCCTGTCTTGGACTGAAGATATGCAAAATATGTATCTCAGTGCTATGTGGATAACATGTGGCAGGAAAGCTCTCTGGCTGATGCCGATGTGTTGATGAGGCTTTTGGGAGCTGTCGATGAACTGTGGTTGGATGCTGCAGATTAAGAAAAGTTTACGTTACTTAGAAAGTTTGCCTGCGCCAGATAATATTCAGTTTCCTTTGTAGTTTATGTAGCACCGTCTCTTTTTAAGTTTTCTTTTGTTTTCCCCAAATAATGGTTTGGTAGCACCAAACTATAATCTCAGTGAAATTTGGAATGTAAAAAAACAAGCTGGGTAAATGAGAGTATAAAGGAAAAGATTTTGCTTGCCCAAAAAATGCATCAGTTGTTCACATGTGGAAGTAAGGTCCTTCTTTATAACTTTTAATTTGGATTATCAGACCTTTAGCAGCATCTCATGCTTCTTCAGTGCCACAGAGCAGACCAAACAGAACAACGTAGATGGAGAAGAAGGGTATTTAGTGGGTTTTATTTTCCAAATATCAATCAGTCACCCTGTGAGGTTATTGATCCGTATCAGATTGTAGTGATGATGCAGACTGTAACACTGCAGCGACTTCCACAGCTCGACTCAGAGCTTCACTGCCTATGTAGAGCACCATCACATTCGATAATCGGTCACACACTGACTGCTCTGCTCACTCATGCTGAAGATGTTATTCACTCATGGAAGTCTAAGCGGCATATGCGTTCATCTATAATAGCGTCAGTACAAATGCAGCGATTATCATATGTAATGTCTGAGGCTTTGTTGCCCCTGAAATCTCTTGTGATAGTAGCTGTGGGTTAAAAATCACACCAAGATAAAAATAGATGGGCGTTTAGCAGAACTTTCCTATCATGTGAGAACACAAGTGAGAAACTGAGATAGATATCTGTAGACATAGACAGTGTATGTACGCACGCGCACATATGGATGTATGGATTTATTTATTTTTGGGTGTGCACTGAGAACAAAAGTAGCAAGGGGGGGGGCAGCAACATTAGCTTGAATTTGTAATGACCACAGTCACACTTTCAGCTCTGCTTTGGTCTCCACCACCTCCTGGGGGGAATATCAAATTCCTTAACTGCCAGATGCTCAATATGCTGGTTGTTGCTAAAACAGAAAATGGATTAGCAGAAATGACTACAACCACTAAACAGACATAACAGACAGGAAAAACTTTGGTAAGATGATAATGGTCACCTATAAACTCGACCAATCAGAAAGCTCATATCATTCTGAAAAGAACAGAGTGACTTTGCTAGCTTAGCCTAGCCAAACCAATCTGCTGTGGGTTTGTTATAATCCTAATGGGTTTAAAGGTCAGTCAGGCCATGGGAAGTAAGGAAAACTCTTACATTGGGGAAATTATCCTTCAGATCCGGTTGAGCTACACAACATTTAACTTGATAAATTCTTGTTTTCAATGGACGTCTTTTGCATGAGTCATTGAAATAAAGATTAAAAAAAATGTTTTGCATTCATGTGACTCTTTCCTAGCTTGGTGTGCTCAGAACACTCCATAAAGACTCTTATTCACCCATTCACACACTGCTGCCATTGGGGAGCAACTTGGTATTTAGCATTTTGCCCGAGGACACTTGGAGGTCAAACCACCAATGGTTTAATCAGGGGTCAACTTCTTTTACCACCCTCAGGATTAGTTAAAGAGAACACATCAAGATATTACTAGATGGAGAGAGATGTATAGATGTATCTCAGTGTTCCCCTTTGACCTTCTTACTATTTGCTATTGTTTGAGGGAATTTAATTGCCCTTGGTGTAAGTGGCTTAAGGTAAGAGCATCAGAAACTAGTAATTCAAGTAATTGGCAACATACAGGCACAAAGCCCCCCCCCCCCCCCTCTTTTTTTTTTTTTTTTTTTTTTGGGATTACCAATACACAATCCTGTACCTAATGAGTAAACAGAGAAGGGTTGTTTGGGGAGGGGGTCAATGTTGAATTCCCCTATACTCGCCTTCATTAAGCTTTAAAACCTGAATGTTCGCTGAGCCTACATACAGTCAGGTGCAAGTACTAGTTTGAGAAGTGACGTAAAAGGTGCTGTGCCGATTAGAATTGCTGCCTGACCACTGGGGATAATCCAAAGTTGCACTACGCTGCATGTTGCAAAAAATAACATGCGTTGTTGTGACTGTAGAGAACACCGTGGGCAGGTTAAGCTTCTGAGCTGTTGCGTAATCGGTGTCTTTTGAAGCGAGACAACCTTGAGACAGCGGGACCGTTCTGAACATCGGGCGTTTTGCCACTTTCCCGTGTTTTTAAGCTCCTCAACACTTTGGGGTCAAAGGTGGTATGACATGGACGAACATGGGGCTTTATCTCAGTTCAGACAGATCCACTATCACCAAAGGATTATTTACATCTACCCTCATTCAGGTTTACCTGTACGAGTCTGTTTTGGCTCTTAAAGCTCTTCAAAGTGCAGACATTGGAAAGCTGCAGGCAGGGACCCCAACACGGAGCACATCAGCTTTCAGCAAAAAGAAATGTGATGATCGTTAAGTTAGAAATAACAAGAAAAGAGGTCCTGTTTTGGAGGTGGGTTGCAAAGCGGCTTGTATGTAGGCTAAAGCCTCAAATAGCACCTCAAATAGCATCATTGTATCATCTAATTTAATTGATGCATGGAAGTTCATCAGCTGAGCCATCAGCTTGTATGAGCTGGCACTGTTGAACCCAACTTTATGACTCGTCTAACACTGTGAGATCAGATGTGATTGAAACCTCTCACTCTACAAACAGGATTCAAGTTGGATGTTCGAGATGTATGGGAAACACAGGCTATGATGGTCGTGAATTTTGACCCTTACTGGTTTAAAAGTCAGAAATTCTGGGCCTCTGCTGCTTTCATGAGCTTTCCTCTTGAGAATCCCCCAGCTTAATGGCTGTGCCGTATTAAATCACCGGAGCAGAACCTCAAAGTCAAAATGTGATTTGCAAAAATGGAGGGCACACAGCATGATTGTGGTTTTTTTTGTTTTGTTGTTTTGTTTTTTTTTGTTGTTTTTTTTTTTTTTTGGCAGTTAAACTGTATAGGAAGAGCGTGTTTTTGTTTTTTGTTTTTCCCCCACTTTTCTCTCTGGAATCCTCATTATAAGACTGCATATTGACATTGAAGGTTAAAGACCAAGTTCACACAGTCCTAATAAGTTCTTAATCTCTTATAACCTAAAATGAGGGACCATCATGCCCCCAGTTCCTTGAAATTCCCTTTTTTAGTGTAGTTTTATTTACTATAAAGATGGATGCATCTTGCCAAAGACTCAATATCCCTAATTCAGTGCTTCATTGTTTACAAGACTACTCGAAGCTTGCACATACAGTATCCTGAACAGTGTCTGGGATAGCTCAAAGTATCAGTACAGGCCCATTACTGTATAACAGTCTCTCTCTGTTCCGCTGCCCAGAAGGTTTCCTGTTTGTGAATTAGCGTTTGCTGAGCGAATGCAATTCATTCAAGGCCTCAACAAGACTGCGGTTTGTTTTAAGCACAGTGGACTCCGTGTCCCCTTTTTTGCTCAATGGTATGAGATGGATGCAAAGATTAAAGACTGTATCCTAGACAGATGTCAGCATACAGGGTAGGAGGGGGTGGGGGTGTCATCCTGAAGTGAGTTATGTAATGTCTGGACGAGCTGTCACGGTGCACATCTGCTGCTGGTTTCTAGATTACATGGTCGGCTGCCTGTAAACAATCAAAAACTTAAGAACAAAATGGGGTAACTAGTTTGTGCACTTGCATCACACACACCATACAGACCACACACACTCGGGGAGAAAAAGCTTTACCCTTGTCTTTTACGTGACCACATTGCTAATACTCTGACAATCAAGGTTAATGCTATACACAGATGACTTTGCAACCCCATCAGATGTTGTCTCAGGAATATTTTCTTTCTCTACTTTCTCTTTAAAATCAGATTTAGTGACTTAAACCAATGACTAAAAAAGTGAGGGAGAATGGAAAGGAAGTGTGTGACAGAAGAGATGAACATGAGACATCACTGTCTCGAGCTGGGGTCAGCAGCTCACTCCAGGCAAAACGTATTTATTTGTTTTTAGGACTGTCAGGAAAAAAAATGATAAAGTGAATAATGGCTTTTAGTTAGACATGATCTCAATTAAAGTAAAACTGAAACACACAAACTGATGATGGAAGCTTTAAAAACAGGCTGAACTTCAGTGGATCTGTTAGAGCATGTTGTGTGGAGTGTGTGTTCACAGAAGCGAAGTGTGCTGTGACGGCATCCCTGACACGTCCTCTCTGCATGGATGGCTCCCATAAATTCCCCTCATTCTCTCAGTGCTGGGCTGAATGGGTAGGTAGGCTATCATAATGTTGCAGAGAGCCGGTCGTGGAAGGATTCCTAATCTTTAGTTGTTTTTCAGTGTTTTTTTTAAAAAAAAAAAAAAGTCTGTGGACTTGGTGTTTTCACAGACTGTGTGCTGACTGAGGCATGCTCAGACTTATAACACAGCTCCTCATGGAAAAGATAATATTTTCTGTGCATTTGTCTGAACAACAAAAGCCTGGAGGTAAAGGAAGTAAAAGAGTCGGAGAACAGGTAGCTTACCTGCTTTCAAACAGGACAAACTCTGCTCTGCTGTACCTCTGAAGTCCACTTGTGTTGCATTCAGCTGATTGGACATGACTTGTATTGACGGTGTGTGCCTTTCCAAGACTCGATAGTTTAGTTTGTGTCAAAGCACAAACCAAGCCCTGACATCCAAGACAGTTGGCAGCATTTAACCTCCTAAGGCCCGAACTCTTCCACGGCATGCATTTTTAATTTCTCTTTGATATTTGGGCTGATTGGGGCCCGATGAATGTAAAAACAAAGAATTACCAGATTTTTTTCCTTTTTTTTTCCCGATAGAACAGTGGTAGTATAGTGTCCTCGTAAGTGGATATCAGGCCCCTGTAGAGCAAAATTGAGTATCTGGGTCTAAATAACCAAAAATGTCCACATATGTGGACGCCAGGTCCTAGGAGGTTAAAACAGTAATTTGTGTTCTTGATTTTATTTAATTGTTTTTCCTACATGTGCGATTCTTTGTTTCCAGGTGTGGTTTGGGGAGAAGTTTGACGCCCCCTCACTGAGCCCCAAGAGCCCTCGCAGCCCATTAGTGCAGCGGCACGGCCCCGGCCTCACAGATGTCTTCCAGTATGACCAGTGGTTGGCGGTGCGGCACGAGGCCACGCTGGTGCCCATGCAGGAGGACTTGGCCATATGGCTCACTGGCATGCTGGGTAAGCATCAGCTGTTCTGCATCACTTTTTCTTAAACGTTTCCAGGCGTATTGTAGAACCGTGCCTGTGTCCAAACCTGTGCGTTTGGGAATTAACAGCTGACTGTTGCATGTGAACAGTTTCCACCTCCAGGCTAGGAAAGTACTGAAGCGCTATTGACACGGGTTTCCCATGTAATTGGATTTGAATGCCGCTATTCCCAACCAGCTCATAGCAAACCACAGTGGAACCAAATCTTTGATTTTGTCCGTGTGTGCTATTCTACTGACATCTATTGTCTCTTTTAGAATATAGGAGGAAATCAAAGCTGACTGGTAACTCTATTGTTGTTGCTGAATACGTTTGTGTTTTCAGAGGCAGACTTTGAGTTTTCTCATGAGGAATGTGGGCAGGTGCTGACACTAAATGTAAATTATTGGTACCATGACTACAAAGACCCACATTATAAGATTTGTTTTAAACTGTTTGACCATTGATCATCAATCCTGAGAGGCTGGACGTTGCAGAAGCAGGTGGCAAACGGTGGGTAAAGTTCCAGGCCTCGGGGGCTCACTGTTGTTGGTGGAAAATAAACTTTTGTAGAGCAATCGTTCTCACTTTGCGGGACGGTATCGTGGATTTTGTTCCCTTGGTAGCCTTTGTAGAGTTGCCTAGAGCGGTGATTTTAACAATAAAGAGTCGTGGGAACGCTATAATTCCTTCAGTAGGCTCTTGCTGAAAAGCTGAAGTCTTTCAGTGTGGTATCTGTTTAAACAAAAGGACAACAAAAGGCTTTTGTTGTGTGAACGTGATCTTTTCAAAGAACTGGAAAAAACCAGGTAAGGTAGGCTGTTTTTGCATTGAGCGCGGTTACTGTGAGTAGAGATTATTCTGTAATTTAGAAAATATAATAAACTCCTCTCTTTTCCAGGAGAGGAGGTGAGAGCCGAGGTTTTCATGGAGGACCTGAATAATGGTGTGAAGCTCTGCAAGCTTATCGGTGTGCTGCAGACTAAGATCGCTGAGAGCTGCCCCTCTGCGCTTAGCAAGGTGAGTCACGCGGCTCAGCTTCCCTGCTCTCACATAAGGAATGTTTGGGAAGACCTATGAACGCCCAGTATGATGAAACTAAATGAATTTCCTGGACATACAGTCCTTTGTGCTGTGTGTTTGGGACACGTTTTAATAGAATTTGACCAGATTATATTCAGCCTATTGACTGCTGGATTTCTGTGTATTTTCTGTGGTTTGACATAAATCGCCTCGATGTCATGGTTCGTGACGATAAAGGTTTACTTTCTATCCCCATGACAGCTGTTTCCTACAAGGAAGGTAGCATGCAAGCGGGATGCCTCTCCAGGCTCCTTCTTTGCTCGCGACAACACCGCCAACTTCCTGGCCTGGTGCCGACACATCGGCGTGGAGGAGACCTACTTGTTTGAGTCGGAAGGCCTCGGTAAAGACCTACAACACACACAACACACTGCAGCACAAACCAACAACAAGCTGCTTGCTTTCTGTGGTGGAGTCCTGTTTGTAGCTGTGTGCTTGTTACCTTTTAAGTAAGATATCTTTATACAAGCTCGTGCACTGCAGCTTGAACTCTGACCGCCATCTGACTTGCACTTGGGCCAGATTCTGGGCTGTTGAGTTACCGTAAGAACACAAAGTAACTCATTAAAATTCTTCAGTTATTAAACTTTAAGCTTTGTTCTCAGTCTCAAACTTTGGCACAAGACAAATGTAATCTTAGTTGATAAAAATCTTTTAATCCAGGTCATTTAGATGCAACTATGTGAACACACAACATGTTTTCTATCAGCTGACTCCTGCTTTTGGATTAAAAACCTTAGAAAAAGGTTTGCGCTTTCCTGCACGCTTTCCTTTTTCACCTCAGTGTTTTGAGGTTTGTACTAACTGCTATACCATATGTAATTATCCTCAACTTCCAATGTTGGGCTTCATGTTCAGCATGCTAATGGGATGAAAAGGACTAGATCCGGGCTGTAAGTTGAGTCTGCTCTTTAAGCTGTACTTCTTAATGGTTTAATAGGATCTGTTGAGGAGAGCAATCACTCTGAGTACTCTCTATGGGAGATCACTTCATTACAAATGAAAGGCTCCCCAGCAAACTGGATTGGGGCGATTTGGAGCACAGCATGTGTACATGTAGATAAATGTTTTTGTTAGTGCCCTCGAGTGACTGTAGTTATGCTCGCCGAATCCCTCATCGTCTCCTCGGGGAATAATTAACTTTAATGTTGCTCTCGTCGCGTCACCTTTTGGAGTTCAACACGTGAATTCACTTTGTCGCTCCTGTTCTGTCTGCTTCGCCCCATCCAAAGGGAGCAGGAGCGTCAGCTGTTGTTGTAACTAATCGGCTTTGTTTTCCACCTCAGTGCTGCACAAGGAGCCTCGACAGGTTTGCCTCTGTCTGCTGGAGATCGGTCGCATCATCTCCAAGTAAGTCTTTAAACACCGAAGGCACTTTTAGAGGGATTAGAAATGGTTTAAGATTGAATTTCCACTGTGATCTCTGTGCGTCTCAGGTACGGCGTGGAGCCTCCTGTGCTGGTGAAGCTGGAGAAGGAGATCGAAATGGAGGAGACGCTGCTCTTGACAGAGGAGCCGCCTCCGGCGGTCAAAACCTTCAGCGTGTGTTGCCAGCATGGCGGCCTCTACCAACCCGGGGTGAGTTCAGTGATGAAACAAACTGAAACAAACACGATATGAGGTTTTTTCACCTTGAGGCAAAATCTGTGGCCTCCTTTAGCGACGTCGCTGTGTTCGGAGCACGTGTCGTCTGGATTACGATCCTGATAGGTCGCGTAGAGATGAGGAGATGTTTGGCAATTTAAAGCACACATTGGCGTGAGGCTGCTGAACATGTGGTATGTGTGCAACTGCATTGATGCTGAGCCAAGATGGCGTCAGACGGCCATCGGCACCCCAGAGGGTGCATGACGCATCAGAGCCCACCATGTGATGCTCTGTCGCCACTCGAGGTCACGTGTGACGGCAAATGACACGTGACCTCCAGGCTACACATGTGGGCCGTCGTACATATGTACTCGCAGTGGGTGGAAGTGGTCCATCTCACTCTGCCTCACTGATGGAGACTGAGGGTGGTGTTAGGAGGGTTCAGCCCTCTGTGTGGTTCACTGGGTAAAATGATGCACCAACACCGTCACAGTTGATAGTTTTATTCCCAGAGGAGATGGCTGTGCTAAAAATAAACTGCACTCGTTGAAGTGGAAGGCACTTTGGATAAAAGCATCCACAATCCCAGTGTGTCTCTTCCCAGCTGAGTCTGCCCATTACATTTGAGCAGCAACAATCAGCTCCTTGTAACCTGTGCTGCCTGACAGGTGCCTTCATCACCCGGTCATTGGTCTCATCTTTAGAGAAATTTTAACATAAAGTCGACGTGCTGGACTTCAGTGACACAGAAGGTGTAGTTATTGGATGGATTACTGCTCGCTTAAGCAAACGTGAGGTCATTAAAGTAGGGTGACCATATTTTGATTTAAAAAAAAAAAAAAAAAAAAGACACTTGACCTAGTCACGAAGAACTTTAATAATACTGTATGAAAATGTAACATATTTAAACTATGCCTTCTCTGTGCGGTTAATAAATGGTGAAATAAAAAACATCATATAGGCTTTTACAAGTCAACAAGTGCAAAAAAAAATAGCTTAAAAACCTCTGGAAGTAAATAATGGTACAGAAATAAGTCTCGTCTGTGTAAGAAAAATTACCGGGACGGTACGAGGGAAATTTCTTTTGCAGTTCTTCTGAAAAGCTGCACTTGCGCTTTGGCATCTTTTAAACATCATCAGGTGCGCGTCTGTGAGCCCGAACAATTACTTGTTGGATGATGTCACACATATGGGTCCTCTGTAGGCGCATAGAAAACCCGGACATTTTCATCAATCTCAAAAATCCCCCCGGACAGAACGCGAACAGCGGACATGTCTGGGGAAAAGAGGACAGTTGGTCACCCTACATTAAAGGGGACCTGTTGTGCTGTTTTTTGGTTTTTCCCATTATTAAAGATCACCAGTGTTTTGCATTATGAGTGTGTGGGCTCAGGTAGAGGCAGCTCTGAATAATTGGTCTGCAGCTACTTTTTCAGCTCTTGTGCTGAGCTGACATCAGTTTGGCGTTATTTGATCATCTCAGTCATGGTGATGAGATGGGTCATAAAAATACTGAGCCAGAAGAGGGGCAGCCAATGAGGTGCAGCTATTTTCTGGATCACTTCAGAATCTTAAAAAAAATGTTTGCGCCACTCTAAATCTTTGCGCCTTACAGTTTGAGAATTTCTACTTTAGAGATGGATAAACCCAAAGTGCTGCATGCAGGATCAATATAAGATCTATGGAGTAGTAAATGAGCTCTATAGATCCCATTTAAATCCTTGCTGATATCCATTACGTTGGGAATGCAGCATCGCTGCCAGCAAACTTTTAATTTAGCTTTCTAATTGCCTTTTACTGTGTCTTTCCCTTCCTCATTTAGGAGCATGACATGGACAACCCACCCTGCAACTGCTCTAACAGAGTGTCCATCGAGTACCTGTCTGAGGGACGCTACAGACTCGGAGATAAGACCATCTTCATTCGGGTTAGTATGAACGCACACTGCAGTTGAGGTGGGCAAATGAAAAACAGCCAAAGACCACTCATTTTAGCAAGTATGCACGGTGGCTGTTGCCAATGTGTGCATCCCCTGGCAGTCGCAGCGGCTTTAACTGTAACTCAACATGTAAGCTCATTAACCAATTGTGGCTGGATGTGATGACATTATAAAAACGCCGCTGTCCAAAGAGCCAAACTACATCTGTGTGTCTGCAGTTACTGAAGGACTTGTTGGTGTTGGACTGTCCAAACTGAAAATGAGTGAATTTTTACAGCAGCCCTTCTTCTGCTTTGTGTCCTCAGATGCTTCATGGCAAACATGTGATGGTGCGCGTCGGTGGCGGCTGGGACACCCTCCGAGGTTTCCTGCTGAAATACGACCCGCTGCGGGTACTGCAGTTCACCACTCTGGAGCAGAAGATCCTGGCCTTCCAAAAAGGCCCCCCAGGCCTCGGGGGTCATCATGGGAGTTCAGCTCCTCCTCCTGACATGGACCCGCTCGCTGCTGTCACTGATCTCATGTCACCTTCATCCTCCTCTTCATCTTCTTCCTGTTCTACCTCTTCCTCCTCTTCGACTCAAGCCTGTAAGCCAGCGTCTGTGTCCGCCGTAGGTCAGACATGTCGGTCCTACAACGCCTCTCCAGCCTGCACACCCACAATGCCCAGGAAGGGTTCAGTGTGTGCGCCTAAGAAGAACATCCAGATGACTGGGTCCTTCCCCAGGAAGCCTACCCAGCTTCCTCTGCCTGTGACCTCCAAAGGTTACTCCTCTAAGCCCCACACGCCTGTGGGAAGCACTTCCAGGCAGTCTCCTAGCCCTGGGTGTCAGGGTAGAGCTCTGACTTCTGCCGCAGCTCCATCACCTGCTGCTGTGGATCCAAGCTCCACCTCCAAATTAAAGCTCAGACCACCACCTCGCTGTGCCTCCTCTCAGCCCAGAAGCCCCGTCTGCCCTGAGCCGTCCTCCAAATGTCCCAAACCCTCCAGCCCCAGCACCTCTCCCACCTTGGTCCCAGTGCTGCGCCCTATCACTGCACCAGTACAGTCGGCTACCTCTAAAGACACCCGCCCTCCGTTGGGCGCCAGCCAGCGCTCTCGTCTAGCACAACGTTGTCCCGGCTCCTCTGCTTCGCGCCTCCGTCTCGAGGCAGTGAAGCGAGCGAAGACGGCCTCAAGAGCTGCAACTCCAACTCCCAGATCAGCAGCAACGACCCCTTCACAGTCCCGCACACCCACCCCCTGCTCACGGACAGCCTCTCCAGCACCGGCTAAACCTGCCTGCTCGCTGCCAAAAAGCAATGAGGCCACAGTCAAAACTAAGGGACCGGCCGTCAACAAAACAGCCGCCACCCCCTCACGCAGTACTGCCGACTCCCCCGGGCGGGTCCCAGGGGGCAACTCGGGCCCTTCTGCTTCCAACAAAGCCAATCAGAAAACGGCAGTCACAGCTCAGAGGGCAGGGCGAAAACAAGCAGCCGCAACTAACGCCATCAAGCCGACTCTAAAACCGGAACCCGCCCGGGCACCGCAAAACTCCTGCCCCAACATCAGAGCTGTTAAAACAGAGCCCAGCATCAGGAAGAAGGTCCCACAACTGAAAGGGAAAAGCGAGGCGCATTATTTTGAAATGAGCAGTAAGAGGAGGCAGAAGACCTAACCAGCAGGCTGGTGGCACTCAGCTTTGTTCTGCAGAAATCGTCAATAGTCATGAATTGTCATTTTTGTCTAGTTTTTTCTGTGTTATTTAATTGTCTTTTTATATTGTGCTTTTATTCATCCAAAAGGGTCAAAGATGCATCGTTTGTGTCATCTTTGTTCCGATTCGCCGGTCTCTTCCAAGGTCATTTCATCGTACCCGATTAACACTACAACTTGCACAATGTTTACATTTCTCACCTTTGTTGCACGTACAGCCATTACAGATATAAAATTTTGTTAATAAAATCAATACTCGAATACTAACCTCATTGTTTTTTTGAACACAAGAACACCATCATGACTTAGTAGAATGCACTTGAGTGAGGCGTTTGCAGGATAAAGATCAGTTTTTATTGATGGAGGGATCCCAGGTAAGGCCACTTCTGCCCCGTTTTCCTCAGCAGGTTACCAAAGTTGTGACATTTTATTCACCTCGGTGAGAATTCCCGTTCCACTGGTGGACAGTCTGACCTAGAACTTGTTTTATTTTGTATAAATATCTAGATAGGAGGTGACATCATTATGACCAATCCTCCCTGTTGTGTGCCTTCATCAGAAATCCCCTGTTTCTGGGTGGCATTAGAATGTATTAGATGTTGGAGGGTTAAAGTTTTTTTTTGTTTTTTTTTGTTTTGTTTTTTTTAATTTAATTTAACTGATTAAAATTGCACAATGTGTATGAGCACTCATAACTGTGGGTAGTCAAAGAAAAGCCCAGGTTGATGAACTACTGATCAAACGCCTCTTTCAGGCCGACATCATTTTGGAGCAGAGTCTACTTGGTATAGTTTTTAAATGTATAGATATATCTGTATGAGACTTCTAATTTTTTTTTTATTGTGCGTATTAAAAATATAGTTTTCTACGTGGTGGTGTTTGTGTGGGGTTTTTGTTTTTTTTCTTAATATATGTAAACTCTCATTAATAAGGCTTTTTTTTTTTTCTTGTTTGGCACTTTACAGAAATCGTTTGGGGGTTTTTTTGTTTTTGTTTTCTCCATATTTTGAATGTTGATTCTGTTGGTCGTCTCCTGTTTCAGCAACTTTTGGTCATTTTGATTAATAAAAGTGGTTTCAATAAATCTTGGCTGGGTTGGGTTTTTTTTTTTTTTT